GTTTAAAAAGTCCTCAGGCTTAAAAAAAATTAAAAAATTAAAGAAAAGCCCCAGAAAATTTACTGGCAGAAAGACAGAAAGGCTTGCTTGCCCTGTATTGTGCTCTTAAGATAAAATTTTAAACTTTCCATATTTGTTTCCACAGCTGAAAAAATAAGCAAAGAGGTTTGTTCCTTTTTTAATTTCTCTCGCCCATGCATTGCACAGTGTTACCCATTTCCATGTCTCTCAGTAGAAATTGTAGGTAGGTATCAGCATCACTCCCAGTGTGGCTCTGACCTTTGTGTGTCTTCAGTCCTGCAGCGGTAACTGAAGTCCCCAAAGCAGTTTGCTGCTGCCATTGTAGCTGGGCTGGCACCGTGGTCCAGAGCTGCGGCTCTGCCGCACTCAGCTCCGAGCACAACCCCAGCCTGGCTGCGGTGCCGTAAATCCCAGTCTGACTGAAGCAAGTGGAAATTTGCTCTTGACTTCAGTGAGGCCTGAGCTGAACATGGTACATGTAATCTGTTTTCAAATATTTGGCTTTAGGAGCGCGTTGTTCCTGTAACGGAGCTGTTTTGAACACAGCTCAGAAGACATTTCTACTGACTGCAACTTTCAAGCCGGACCTCTGGGTATTCACTTTTCCAGCTTTGCCAAGTTTGCCACATTCCTTGGACCACCAGGTCAGGCAGGAACACTCCCAGTTCTTCATATGTACCCTTTGAAATAGTAACTTTCTAGAGCATAAGCTGGCTTTTACAGAAAAAAACAAGAATCATTAACAACATTAACTTTAGTGGCAATTAGAATAACATATTCTTGACTGGTGGCCAGATTGTTTAGGTCATAGGGTAAAATATTCGTATTGTGTAAAGCCCTGCAGGCCTTCCACTGTGCTACAGGCAAAAAAAAAAGGTGGTGGTGGGGAACCAAAAAGCTCCCCATCCCTGTTTCCTGACATTTCAGGTAGAGCAAGGTGTACTTTCAAGGCTGATCTCTCAAATTGTATTCTCTTACTCATGCAAGAAACCTGTTAAAGCCATCATTAGAAATGCCAGGTTCATTTAAAAATTACTAATAACATTTTTGTGAAATGCAGGGGCTTTTTTCCCCTCCCTTTAGAATTAATTAGTGATCATTTATCCTAAGACATGGTGCTAGCAGCTCCCTTCTGCTGATGTTTGGCCATGCCCCTGTGCTGTGCACAAATGTCCTGGTGCTGGCCGGGAGCTGTGCGCCCGTGATGCTGTACCACCTTCGCAGAGGTGTTCCCTGTACAAATTCCTCGCAACTCAGTTACTATTTTATTTTAGCAATCTAGATAGAAGCTACTTATTATTGAATTAAATTCATTAATCTCAAAGGCCATCTTAAAAATTAGCTGTGTCGGTTAATACACGTAATATGTGCTTGATGCTACAAGTTAGCCACTGATCTTTGGAGACTTCAGAAGGTGCCATTGGCTGTGGCCACCAAGAAGCCCCTTTGTGTGGTACGGACGTGTTTCCTCGGAGCCAGGCCCAGCTCCAAAATCACACCTGCTCCCGCTCCCAGTGCCAGCAGTGCCTTGGCCTCCCACAGTGACCCAAAACCCTTCGGCAGCGTGCTCATGCCTGCATGCACCCGTCCTGCCTGGCTGCGCTGGGGCGGGATGCTCTTGCAGCTCTTGCCAGCAGGAAAACTGCTGCTTAAATTGGTGAACTAGTACAGCGAAACTCCTCAGAAATGAATTCCTGAGGAATGCTCGTGGCCTGCTGTCCTCGTCAGGGAAACTGAGCTCACCGCGGGAGCAGCTGGGCTGCTTTTGAAGCTTTTTCTTGCTGGATGGACCACCCATTCCCATCACTGCCCTGGTGCTTGCTGGCTGTTTCCGTCTCCCGGGCAAGGAGCTAGCATCTCCCTGGGGCCACCCGCACCCTGCACACCCTGCTGGCAGCTCGTTGTCAAAACAGTGGAGGCAAAGGTCAAAGAAACCAAGAAACACCCCCGATTTTTCTCGGCGGTGTTTGGTTTCTACAAGGCAAGCCCCAAGCATGTGGCTCGGCAGAGGAATCTGAAGACCGTGTTATTCAAAGAACAGTAACACTGAGGCGTGGCAGACATGTAAAATTCCTTCAACTTGCTGAAAACAGCAAAAAACCCCTCATTTTAAAGCAATGTTGCATTTGCTAAATAATTTATGCAAGATTCACTGTTGTGTTATTTGACATACAACTCTGTCAAGCAACGACGCTTTTGAAAAGTTGCCTAGAGGATCAGATTTCCCATTCAACAGGGAATTAAAAAATGTTTCTGGAATTTTGCTTTGCAGTCAGGAATCTATTTTCTTATCTCACATTGTACACTTTATTTTTCCTAAAGCAGTGTGCTAAATTATTTGTTATTGTTGGACTTGGTCGAACAGCTTTATCCCTGGTGTAGTCACGAAGTGTTGGAGTAAAACCAACAATGAATTTGTCACAGTGTACTCACCAGATCAGCTGGTCTTTAGGTTAACTGTCAAAAGACAATATTTCTGCTAAAAATATTAGTGAAAGTCCCTTAAGCCTCCCCGAGGTTGCCTAAAAACTTTCTTCTTCAGGTTGTGGCAAAGTCAGTTCAGAAGTGCTTCTCCGAGGTCTCTGTCGGCAGGCGGCACAGAACCAGGTGGCAGTTCTTTAGGTTAGATTTATATACTTGGACTATTTTTATAGGTTTCTGTCTTATAAAACAGAGAGTTGACATTCTGATTTATTAGCTATCAAGTCTGCAGGACATACAGGCTTTAAAAAGATTGAATGACCTAAAATGTTTGTGATTGCAGTCTGGGGTGAGAGCCTGTAAAAAGGTGGGCCAAGTAAATATGACAAAATGGAAGTGATAATTTGAATATGTACGTTAAATTATGTGTGAAGTAAAGCAAAGCTAGCATAGCTTCAAACACAACTTATTTGGTGAAGTAGTAGTATAAAGAGAACCAGAATCATGTGTTTTTTCATTGCAATACATTTTTATTTAAGGAAGAGTCTATAAAGCATGAGGTTCAGCAAACAGCATTTTATTGAATAAACATAGTACAGATGATGACTTACAATATGGAGAGCTTAGTGAGTGATACATTTTATAACCAAATCCTTAAATTCATTACCGCTGTGTAAGTGGCATATCTGATTTGTTAAGATGAACATTATATCTAGCCCTTAATGGAAATTTTGTAGTAGAAAAGTATGTATAATTTAACAGTAAAAGAACCTGAAAATGTGCAGATCAGTTAATTGCTAAGAGGGATGCTGTGAACACCACAAGCAGACATTGATTTTTAATATTTCCATTGCAATTCAAAGTGTACGTCATGTTACGAGTGCTCCATGGAAAACTGCAGAGCAGTTTACACCGGTTGATTTATGTTATCATGCGCAGTGCAGAAAATGGTATAAAATGTGCTCTGGCTGGATAGTGGTAGCAGAACCCTACTAACACGCGTGTCTGAATTGCAGTGCTTGTGGTAACCAGTTTTCATCTTTAATAAATTTTATTTTTCAGCTTTGTTTCATGTTCTCAGCAATGGTTGTCCTTAATCTTTTTGGCACTGATCTAATTTTAGAAACAATTCATCTCTCTGTTCGCTGGCGTTTCCTTAATGGCTTAAAACCCAGACGCATCCCAAACCAACAAGGTGGCACCTCCCTCCTGCCTGGCTCGAGCAGCTCCCAGGCTTTTGGGGTCAGCTGGCACGTGGTGCGGGAGGATATCTTCTACTGCAAGAGCCTGCGGTTCCGTTTCACTTTGCTGGATGATTTCTCAAGTGTTCCCAACTTACCAACAGGGTGTATTCAGAGTGTGTGAGTGCTCGCGGTGGCAGGTGAAATGGTGCAGGCGGAGCACCTGCAGCTGTATCGTCCATGTTGGTGGGACACACGTGTGGAAGAGGCACAGGCATCTCTGTTTCAGCTGGTCACCAAAGCCCGGTCAGCGTGGCCAGCGCATCGAACGGGTGCTTTCCCTGCTGAGAGGGAAACAGGGACTTAGAAGGGCTTTTTCACCTCTGCTGCCTCTCTGGAGAGCCCAAGTGAGGGCTGGCCGCAGCGCTGCGTGGAGCCATTGGGCACAACTGGTTTCAGGCATGACTGGGTGGTCACCGTGGCCAAAGGGCTGTCCTGGAGTCGTGAGGATGTGGCTGCAAGCCCATCCCTTGTGACAGGCTGCTGAGTGCAGCTGGGGGGGTCTGACTGTGGCCGGTTGCCCGTGCCTCCCACCCCGCTGCCAGCTGCGAGCCAGCTGCCCTGTGTGCGGAGCTGCCACCTGCACGGCCCCAGGGTGCCCCTGCACTGGGGTATTTCTGGAGCTGCCAGAGAGCTCAGTCTCTGTGTACGCTAACGCGCATGAAAATTTGTGGGGGTTTTGGCAAAGGTGTTTGTGCTAGCCCATGTTCCAGTCACAGATGAAGATAAAAAATGTCTGAGAGACCTGAAGGTCAGATGCAATGCTGTCAGCTGCTGGCTAGGTCAGCACAACATGAGGCTCATCTGCCCAGCAAAGTGCCTCTCGTTAGTTTGGTGGGATCTCTCACGTCCTGGGGTGTATGTGCTTTGGGGGTCTTCAGCTAGATCTTTTTTTTTTCTTCTTGTTACTAATATTGGGTCTTGGAGGTGGCAGGGAGAGGAGAGCATTGAGAATTAAAATTCAGCACATGCTTTTTCTTTGCGGGCTGTAATTAATCTTGCCAATTTTTAAAGCTTTGAGAATCTGGTTAAGTGATAAAACACTAACAACTTTATATGACAGAGAGTTAGAGGCTCCTGCTATACACCCACCAGAGAAGATTAGGAGAGTGTTTGCAGGATTCGCACTAAGCAGCAGAGAATACAGTTGAGAATTGTTGCACCGCATGATATAAAAACCACATTAATATAATGAAAGGTATCGGGAATAATGTGAGAGCGGCTGTAATTAAATGTATCTTAATAAGTGCAACATCCTTCTTAAAGCTCTTATTTTTCAGACCTCTCAAACTTAGAGGATGTTCTTGCTGTTGGCAGGTGGCCTGGGAGGAGAGCTGGAGAGTGAAGTGAAGGACAGCCGGGCCCTGGAAGAGAGGAACAGTGTGACGAGCCAGGAAGAGAGAAATGAGGAAGATGAAGACATGGAGGATGAGTCAATTTACACCTGCGATAACTGTCAGCAGGACTTCGATTCACTGGCAGACCTGACTGAACACAGGGCACACAACTGTCCTGGAGGTAATGTTAAACTAGCTTTACAGTTCTGACAGGTGGTTAGCTGGGTAATTGGACATAGCAACAGCTTGAGGCCTCAAGTGAGATTAAAGAATTAATAATGTAATTTTACAGTTAATGTAATTTTATTGTGGTGCCTTGGGTAGCCTTTGTTCACTCCTTTAATAAAATTAAAATAAAAGCAACAGCTTTCCAATTGGAATCTGTCAGTAATTATGTTAGACAAAAATGTTGTGGGGTTTTTTTTAACGCTAAAAGTTTCAGGCAGAGTATTTTTCCCTCTCTCTCAAAATGTAGGAAGATTAAAAAAGTTAAATGACTGAAGTGTGCAAAACTCCCAGGAAGAAAGGCCTCTGAACCCCGTAAAAGAACATGACGATTTCGGAGATTAAAATTCATAGTGTGAGTTTCGTAATCCCACCCTAAAAATACACTGTTCTCCCTAGGTTATTATTGCATCGCCTTTTGAATTTTATGGAAGTGAGGACAGCATTAGCCTACGCTGATCTTGATTTTACTTTCTCTAAAGTAAGAACAAGCTCAGAGCATTGGTGTGAACAATTGCAACATATCTTGCTTTTACACGGCTGCCTTTGCATGGCCGGCGGTAGCAGCAGGTATTCTGCAGAGCACACTAAGCCGATTTACGGGGGTAGTAAAAAGCTTTGCAGATTTTACCAAAGATTAAATAAAATCTTAGGAGGGGGAGTGCAGAATATGTTCATATGTATTTAAATCAGAGATTCTCATCCTTCGCCTTCCTGGAATTGAATACCCTGCCATCACTTTTTCCTCCGCACTCACCTAAACTATTTTTAGGCAGTTGCTATTATGGCAGACAGATAGGTCAAAGCTGGCAGAGGGCAGAAAGGTTAGTTTCTCCTCTGGTGCAGCAGTATCCCATCCTCTTTCTCCCGAGGATATTCATCTCTGGCCACTTAATTTGTTTGGTAATTAGTCCATGTTTTCTGCTCTTCTTTTTGGACATAAGTAAAATGATGCTGAGCCAAGAAAACATATAGGAAACAGAGTACAGCAAAGGAGGGAGGGTCAGATGCGGGCTTCTGCTCGGTCTGACTCCCACCCTGAAAGTGTCCTCCCCCATCTTGCTCTGGTCTGTGGAGATGAGGTTCCCCCCGCTCTTGTTCCTATATCCTTCCCTGCTTGCTGGGAGGAAGGACAGAGGGATGTTGGGGCTTTTCCCCAGCAGGTGGATAGGGATTGCAGTCCTACGCCTGCCCCAAGGGCTCCTTGCTCTGCGCTCTACTTGAAACGCTATGTAGGCTGCAAACTTGAAAGCACATATAATTGAAAGGCTACTTCTCACAGGGTCCTTTCTTGGCCAGCTGAGAAGCACGGCGTTGGCCTGAGACTTCTGCAAATGACATTCGTACTGTACTGCAGGGCAGTAAGCATGAAAATGCCATTGAATAGAAAAAATCCCGTTTTCCAGACTGGAAGGCAAGATGCACAGCCCATGTGGGCATTGGTCCTTTCCAAAGGAGCAGTTGCAGGGACGAGTCGTTCCCAATGACATCCTGCACGGGGAGTGGGACAGGCAGGATGCTGCCAAGCTGTGCGGGCAGCCATGCAGCTGTAGGGCATGTGGCTGGCCCTGGGTGACTTCTTCTGCTCCGTTGCTGCCCTGTCTCCTACGTTGTGCCGGTACAGCTGCTCATGGTGCTGGGGGTGAGCCCCACCAAAAGAAAAACTGTTTCTACCCCAGATGTTTGCTTGGGTCTGGTTAACTGTGTGGTCCCCCAGAACAGCTGTAATGGCATAACTGGGGGAGAGGGGCAGGCTGGAGGGGAGCGGGTGCTGCTGGCGGGGACTCCAGAGGAGGAACGTAAGGTTATGATGGCCAACAGCACTATGAAAGGGAGCAATTTTTCTCCTGAGGCAAATATACATTAAAATACAGCAATCTGGAGATTCTGTTCATAGCAATACAGTCCGTGTTTTCACACCTCAGTTTTTATTTATCCTCAATGTAGTATTCTGCTAGTGAGACTAAGAAAAATAAATTATATTTTTTGGGACCTATCAAAATAATTTGTTAGGATTCTCATTGCTAATTTTTGATTGCAGGTAGCATAATTTCATCTTCTTTTACTGTCTTCACATGTGCTGATGATTTACAAAGACATTTTGTCATAAAAAGGCACCATATAACCATCTGCATATACATGGAATAGGTGCTAATTATCTCCATGTGAGGATATCCTTGTTCCAAAATAAGAGTGCCTGTTTTCCATTTAGTTTAATCTAGTGTCCTGAAGTGATTGAAAGTAAATAGGAAGATTGCACTCGTATTCTGGAATGAGAATGTTTCCATGAAGACAATCTGGAATATTGCTTGATATTTACATATCCTACCTTGAGGAAAAAACCTTTTCAGACCCACCAGTTTGTTCAAAGCATGCAAAACGCACATCTTTGTTAGTTCTTCTGAAAAGACTTGTACCACCAGGGCGAAAACCTTAAGATTGCATTAGTAAGTGTGGTATTTTTAAAGATATTACCCCACAAAATAAGCTATTTGTGTCCTTAGTTACCCTGCACTCCGTTTGCCTATAATGCCTGCCTGACGCATCTGAGGTTGTAATGCAGTGCCTGACCTCTTGGCAAGCTAGGTTTTCATGTCTTAATCTGAAGCAGGGTTTTCACTCGTGTCTACATGGCTCCAGATCAATACAGGTAATATTTGTAGTGATAATATCACCAAGCTGATAATACAACATAACTAATGACTTCCTTTGGGATACTGAAGGTAGGAAGGTATTGTAGCTCGGGAGTGTTGCAGGATTACAAGAGATCACTCCAAAGAATAGGATAAACCATCTATTTCATTGGAATCCCTTAGAAATTCATTACGGCGCACTGAAGTTATAATACAGTTTGAACGCAGCTGCTTTGACATGTAAGGAGGTAACAAACAGCCATTTCCCCCCTTGCTTTTCAATGTATTTCAGACTTGTTTCTTTGAGGACAAAACACCACTGAAATCTAGACATCTCTGGTAGCATAAGTGCGTGGCATTCCTTTTGATGTCAGTGTAGTAGAGATGTTCTCCTTCTGACAGAATTAGGTGCCTTTTATACCTTTTGCTCATGACTGATGTCTGTGATTGCAGGTTGTAGGTTTCCAGTGTCTATGGGGATCTGAAAAGGGTCTAAATGGGGGCAGCTTGTACTGAAAGAACATCACATTTCCTTACCGGCTCTTCCCTTGTCTCCCAGCTTGCCCCCACAAATGAGCTCTCCTGCAGCAGTCCTGGAAATAGTGCATTAAACAACTAGTGAGCATCTTGAAAAATACTCGGAGAATAAACAAACACGCTTAGTGTATACGCTGGATGTGTTAAGCTTTTAAAATTAATTTAAAACTCACTGGTATTCCAGGTCCCCATAACTAGAGAAGACTATGTAATTGCCATCGGCCTCACGTGCAGTCTTTTCTATACGTTTTTTTTGCACACTGCTGTTACAGTGTAGGTGTTATATATAGCCTGATGCTATCTTATAGCACTAGTGACAAGAGTAACGAATTGCACATGGATTTACAAATTACTGTGTCCTCCAGCCAGCACCAGAGGCTGCATACATCAAGTACCTGTTCTGCAATATATCATTGTCTGGTGGCCGATGTGGAGTTGTTTGTTTGTCTGATGAAAAGTGGCTAAAAAGCCACGAGATTTGCCATTTTGCTTGTGTCTTTTAATCCACCTGCATTAGCCTGGGTTTAGCCCCAGTGTTTTATTGTGTTACTTTTGCTTCCTCCACCCATATTACCCCTTTCCTCCATGGGTCAGAATATCTTCATGTAAACTTTTTTCTTCAGTTTCTCAACTGAATGTAGAGTGTTTTAAAGCAAATTAGTGCATCAATGAAGTGGACAGAAGTAGGTTACGGTGGGGTCTCTGAGCATTTCATGAGGTCCTCTTCTGTTGTTGATAACTTTACAGGTTGTCTGTTTCAAACAGCAGCAGAGCTATATATGGATATTGCCAGCTTGGAAGCGGCTGATTTTTCTAAACTACTGTACGGTAGGAACTAGTTTATAATTAAAGTCTTGCAGTTGCTCCTTTTAAATGCCCTATAACTTGTACACTAGGCTTACGTTTGAAATGAGGTATTATAACTGTTTCATGCTAGTGTATAATTTTGCATTTTCTTGTCTTTCACCTGCTACAAGAATTATAATTGCCATGCAACTGTATATGCGGGATGCTTATCCAGAAAACTGTACACGGCAGCTTGTCAACAAGTGATGTCTCATGAATGTTTTTGTCAGGTGGCACTTTGTACTTCCCACTGACAAAGAGAGACTTCTTACATATATTTCCAAAATTAGCCCTCCCCCAAATTGTAATCTTTTGTTGCACCTGATTGGCAAGTCGGAGATTTTTCTGTCTTTTGTTGCTGCTGTTGTTGCTTCTTTAAATTAATGAACTACTGATCATCCTCCACAAAAGAAACTGAAATACAGTTGTGAAAAAGCAGTGTGGAAACTTAATTATACACCTAGTTTATACAGCTGTGGCTCTAATGACCTACTGGCCCTAATTACTGTGTTGTGGCTCAGTCTGAGTGCTCTTGTCCTTGCCAGAATTCTGCTCCTTTCTCTTAACCTGACTAGTGTTTCAAGCTAAAAAAATAACAAGTTTCCTTTTTTTGTTCTTTTCTACATTGTCGTGCTGAAATGCAGTTTTCCTTCTTTCCAGAGGTCGTAGCAGTGTTTTAAAATTGGCACCACAAAAGCTCAGTAATATCACAAACTGTAAAAACATGGATTTTCCCTGGAGTCCTCAGTTCTCGCTGTCTAGATCTGAAAATGGGCACCGGGGCAGTGTTTTTATTGTCAATCACTTGGAGGGCTCCAAGCACAGGCTCCTGTCCTTAGTCTGTCCCAGGCATCCCCCCTCCAGGTGCAGGGGCGGCAGGGCTCCCCAGGGCTCGGGCAGCTGCCGTGGCCGTGGTGCCCAGGCACTTCACGTGTCTCCCTGTAGTCAGTATTTGTGCCCATCAGTGCTGAGAGCTCCAAAACCCCAGATTATTGTAGGGGTACGCTTGGCTGGATGGTTTGGGGTCTGGCTCTCCTCACTGCTCTCACCACACAGGTGATGCTTGAGTTTACCTGGAGGTTCCCAGCCAGCCTGCGAGGAGGCTCTTTCCAGGACTTCTGCCTACCCATACCAGAAAATTAGTGTGCTGATAAGGTGCTGGGCTGCCTGGCTTTCTGCGCAGGTGCTCAGTGAAATATGTATTTATCATGTAGAACATAATCCCGTATCTGAATTTGGATCTGAAGTCAAACAGAAGCACAGTTGCAAATTTAATGACAAACAAGGCATATGGTAACCTTTGCCAATGCGGTGGTTTCGCAGCACATCCAGTGCAATGTGTTTCCTGAGCTGTCGCTTGCCACAGGCCAGCAAGAGCTTCGGCGCTGCCCAGCGTGCCGGCTGCCAGCACTGGCTCTGCACCCACGCAAGGTGTCTGGCGTGAGTGGGGGCTGCCTGCAAAGGTGCTTCTAGTGTAGCGTTTAATGTATTGCATACGTTTGTGAAAGTTGTGCAAAGTGTTATGCTCCCTAACAGTGTTGCTTATCCGGCAGATCGGAGGGTCGTCCGGCAGGTGAAGGTAGGTGAGACCCCCGGGCTGCTCCGCTCTGGCTGGGGCGCGTGGCCCCGTGCTCAGCCCTTCAGCATGGGGAGGCATTAGCGGGGGCTGAGCCTCAGCAATTGTTTTTCTCTGGCTGTCTCTTGGACTCTGCAGGAGTGCTGGTGCCTGTAAGGGTTTCTGGGGGGGGACGAGCCACATGAATTTAAAACAATGCTTGCTTGCCATAAACACCCAGCTCAGGATTTGCTTTGTGGCCTCACGGAGGGTCTCCCACAGCGGGGGCACGGCGGCAAGTCCACGGCAGATCCCCAGCCACGCGGGAGCCTGTGCGAGGAGCAGGGCAGTGTGCTCGCCGATAAGAGCGTGCCAGTGTGCCAGGCGCCGCCCCCCGCAAATCGCCACGGCCACCTTTGTGCCAGGTCCCTCCAGGGACCATGGCAAGGGAGGCAGCACCAGGCACTGCGTGTGCAGATAGGAGCGCTGCCAGCACGGCTGCAGGCGGTTTGGTTGCATGTAACCAAAACCCCTGGTACGAGGGGAGGTAATGAGCTATCCCTACCCCTTTCTCAGCCTCCCTGTAGCCAGCAGTCATCACGGACGGCCCGGCTATGCATTCTGAGGCTGCACTAACATTTCTTAGCAATGATGATGTCTTTCCTCAAGCAGCATATGTTTTTCACACAGGAAGAACGTTTTCCCTGTCATTTTTAAACATATGGCCCAGTGAGGAGCTGAGGATGACATGTTAGCATGCTTGTATCGGCAAGGGACTGTTTCATTCTTGCTACTATAATTGAGTTCTTTTATCTACTTTTATCTAGTTCAAAACGTAGTCTGCAAAGTAAGCACAGGTATACATGAAAATGGATAGAAGAGAAAGTGGGTGCGTCTTTTAAACGAGGCCTCTTAAAGATAGCACGTGTCCTTTTGAAGTCTTGAACACTTCGGCTCTTGGCTCTCTGGAAAGCTGCTCTCCCCTCCTGATACATTGCTGCATCAGAAATGGGGAGATGAACAAAGACCGAAGCACCTCAAGTGCTACAAAGCGAGAGCTAGCTGCCAGGTGCCGGCCATGAGAGCTCCCATGTGTGGCAGGACCTGTGTCTGGGAACTGGGGCCCACCTGGCTCCCCCCTGCACAACCTCAGGGCTCACGCAACCCTTTTGGGGTGCCGGGGGTGCCCGAGCCCCACCTCCCCTTCTCCCCATGCTTCGGATTTCTGTTTGCAAAGGGTAATCCATCGCCATGTTACAGCAGAGGGAGTATTGCATGGGTCTGCATAGGGCAGGTTTGTTTCTTGGCATTATAGAAATCTCAGTAAATAATAAATGTTTTTTGAAAAAGAAGAGGGAGGGGTTGCAGTGGAAAGGCTCCTTCCAGGGCTGGAACCTGCCGAGTGCTGCAAGGGCAGCCGTGCCCGCAGGAAGGAGGATCACTGCTGCCCTGAATAGGTCCCAGCATTCAGGGGGCTGTAGACAAAACCCAATATGTGAAACTCAATTCAGAAATGCAGTGAGGATAGCCTGGAGACTACAACAGATGTGTGCTTGTTATAAAGTGGCCCTTAATAATGCCTTAGAGAGCTCGGTGGAGGATGTGCTGGGGTTGTCCTGTCTCAGAGGGACAAGAGTGCAGATTGTTTGTGGCTAGGGCGCTGCTGAAGGGCGCGCATTGCCTTTCTGTGGGTTGTTGAGGGACAAAACAGTGTTGGCCATATCAACAGCCTTGGCAGATTCAGAGCCATCAAGATCTTCAGACTGCAGATGTGAGCGGTGAACAAGAGGTGCACTGAAAGTCTGCTTTTTTTCCTGATTTCTTCCCCTATCCCTTAGCAGAGCGTCAGAGAAGTAGTCTTCATATAAGGACGGCCGTACCGAGCCAGCCTGATGATCCCATAGCGCCATTTCCCCAGAATATTCTCCCTGCTGTCAGCGAACTTCTCTGGGCACTTCTTGGTGCCTTTTATTTAAATTCCTCAGATAATCTTCCAGGAATTTCTATTTTGAAGTTTCTTGTTGAAGCAAGGTAATGCATTTAGAATTTCCCATGTTGGGGACCCCGAATTCAGTTACGTGTTGGGGAAAAGTGTCCCCTTTTGTTCACTTCAGCTTTGTCACCTGCTTTCATTTGATACTCTCCAGTTCTGGTGGAGGAGACAGTGAGCCATCCCTATTCACAGTCCTCTTATCGATACCTCCCATATCTTGACCCAGAGTAAGAGACTGAGGCACATGGTAAAGCATGGCTGATAGGACAGCGAGTGGGTGAGGTGTCTCTTTCATCACTAGCACTAGAGATGTGGTCACGTCTACGTGTCTGTCCGGGTTCTTGAGCAGGAGGCGAGGGATAGTGCTCGTCCTGGTGTGAAGACCTGGCATACAGAAAGATGGTGTCTGGCCATGTAGGGGAAAAACAATTAAGACTTCAATGTGTATTAAGAAAAAAGCAACCAGCAGTGCATTTCAAGCACTCATCACACAATGTAATTTTGCTGTTGGAAGTAGTAGGATTTAAAAAGTCTTTCTAATGTTGACTTCTTTGAATTTGTAGAATATAAATGGGGTTTTTTTAAAAAATCAATTAAAAATAAAGGAAGTGTGTGTACAAACATTGTCAATAATTCCTATCTTTCATTTTTTTTAAAACAAGCTCTAGAAAAAATCCCCACAGAAGTTCTGTAGTGCATATTTGAATGCTTTTGTTGTAGCCTCATTAAACTTGGCTTGTCTGCAGATACAGCTGGCATGTTATTAACTGTGCTCCAGGCTTGGGGAAGCCAGAAAGCAGCCTCCACCCCCCGGTGCCGGCTGGCTTTAGGGAAACGTGCCAGCATGGGTTGGTCCTCTTCAGCTGCCTGGCTTTGGGAGCGCTCGCTGGAGCATCTCCGCATGGCCTCTGGGTCCGGGAGCCCAGCCTCAAGCACGGACTCGAGGGAGGGCTGCTCGGTGTCCTCTGTGCCGGCCGGCAGCCCGCACCCATGCAGCACAGCAGTCTCTTGTGAGCAGGATGGATCCACCAAGGTATGTGGCCTCCCGTGGACAACCTCAAGTGGGTGCCTGCATTCTCCGTAGGGGTCTCATGCCTTTCTTTACTGTGGGCTGGCAAGAAACAAATTAGCAATCATGTGCCAAATAGTTTCTCTGTTCTGAACGAACTCGTTATTGGACTGAACCAGTCAAATAAATTGAATAAGGGAAATATTTTCCCTGCACCTGCTGGAGAGGCTGTTGCTCTCTAAGCTGGGTTTGCACATCAGAAGACCTCCACCAGAGGTCTAAGCAGCTTCTGACTTTCTTCAAAGCTTTGGCAACAAGTATGTACCTTTTGAACGCTGTTTCATTTAAGTAATTTTAATAGGTGTTTTAAATAGTGAGGTGAATTTTAAAAATATATTTCATAATTTTATATTAAATTCAAAATTGTTGAAAATATCTTTAGTAGAAATTTAAGTTAAATAATGTGTATTAAATATAGGTAATGTTATTCAAACTTCTTGCTTGTTACAGCCAGCTTTAAACATTTAGACTAGTGACTCCTTTCTGCCATAAAGAAGTACTATTTTTAATTTTATCATCATGGAATTAAGAAGTCGTCACTCTAATTTGACTTAAGTTTTGACTGTTACTGGAAAAGGCATTCCTTCCTTCCTTACATCTGTCCGTTCGTCTGTCTCCTACCTTATGCTGGTACAAGGTTTGTGTTGTCTTTGGGAGCTGATATTGCTGACAATTAGGAGGATTAATTTTTAGCCTGCACGGCTGGATCTGGTGCCCTATGGAGCTGCACAAGCCTTATGTCAACATGAGGGGGACGAGAGGTCAGGGTTTGCAGGAGAATTGAAGAACTTCCCCCTTAACAGTTTGAGTTACTTTGGAGGAAAATTACTGTAACTGTGGCTTCACCAATTTGCCTAATGACGTGCATGAAATTGGTGGAAGAGCCAAGGTCTTTAATCCAGGTGGGTTTTTGTTGCTGGTGGCACCTGTAACCGTGGGGGTGAGCTTCCTCTTGAAGGCACCATTTTTTTTGGCATGTGGGTCCATCTCATTTTTAAGCTTCTTTCCATTCTCAGCGTAATGGTGAAAGACTTTTGGGCTCCTCATTATGTTGCTACTCAGTTACTGTTAGCCTTGCTGAGGAGGACATAAGGAAAGGCTGAAGAAGCCCATCCCTTTTCTCTTCTCCAGGGAATCTGTTACATTAAACATTTGAATAGATTTTTTGAACATAATTCCCAGTCATTTCCTCTACAGTGAACTCAGTTCACTCGTGCAGACTTTGTACTTAATGATATCTCTTAAAATAAATGAGATTTGATATAATTTATATTAAATGGTCATTTTTAGAAATCTGCATCTCCTAATTATTCATTAGAAAATTCGGAAAGACAGAAGTAGAATAAATTCCCTTTATGACCTTGCAGTCTACAGAAATATAAATATATACACCTATGTTCATTTTCTCTGAGCAAAACTGAATACAGGTGATTTACTGGACTCCAAGAGCAGTCTAAGCAGATTTAAAAATGACGCTGTTCAACCTGCACCAATCAACCATAGCAACCAAACAAGCCAAAACCAGCCAAAAATTAAACATGCCTCTAGGACAGTTTTTTAACATTTACAAGGATGCTCCCCTCATGGTCTGTCTCTGCATCGTATGGGATTTTGCTTTTGTGAGTTCTTCTGGTTGTGTCTTTGGGGCGACGGCTCTCTTCCCTTCCCTCTCCCCATTGTCTCTGCTGGTGTCCCTGTGGGCTCCCTCCTTGCAGGCTGTCTCCTTGCTCCTTTCTGGACTGCCACCATTTCGCATCTTGCTCACTGCAATCTTCTCCCTGATGCTGTGCTGGCATTTGCCCTTTCCTGGCCCAGCACGTAACTGAGTCACTTCACAGTTTATACATTTAAGTTACACCTTACTGCGTTACTGTTTTCTCCTTTGCTCTCAGCTGCAGTTGCTCTTTTGTCTGTTGTCCCAGAGCTGGCTCTTCCTTGGGGCTCTGTACACGTGCAGAGCCT